CATATGAGAAGCATGTGGTATTTGTGTGAGTGTGACCACAGTCCGAGATGTAATTCCCCTTGGCTCATCCCTGTCTGACTGAACGGGCTGAAATGCAGAGAAGTTGCCAAATGCAACAGTAATGAACAAGGCTGTGATTAGTTATATGACACAGCTGCTGATAGAGAGCATGCAGGCTAGACAAAAAAGGACATCCATAATGTATGCATGTTTCAATCAAATTTCCTGTTTCAATCACTGAGAAGTTGCTCTTGTTATGGATTTGATTAGCATATCTTTAGGTGCTTAAGCACAAGGTGACAAGGAAAGGAAAGTGTGAGCATTAATCATTTCCAAGTAGGGGTGTAACGGTTCACAGAAGTCACGGTTCGGTTCGTACCTCGGTTTGGGGATCACGGTTCGGTACAACAAGAAAAAGCAAAAAAAAGCCCCAAATGCATAATTCCAGGTTTATTGTTATTTATTTTGAACAGTAGTGCAAGTTTCAGTTTAAAAATAAGGAACTCTGACATTTTGAATAATTAACTGTATTAAACAGTTAAAAACAAACCACACACACACACACACACACACACACACACACACACACACACACACACACACACACACACACACACTCAGATGGCCATATTATTTATAATGGCTGATGTCAAACAAAAAGGTTTCATCAAGCTGTAAAACTAAAAAGAATGTCTTGGAAATATTACATCATAAATAATAAGAAAGTGTTTCCAGTGCGCAAAGTCGTTGAAAAACATATGCCAAAAGCTACCGTTATTTATTTTGGTCTCTCAGCTTTTATGTCTATTGGTTCATTAAAAACAGCGAGGATAAGCTGTTGAACTGCTGTTGTCTTTTGCCGGGCTCCGGTGATTGGCAAATCTGGGTGATGCCTTCTGATATGATTTAGCATGTTTGTCGTGTGTTACCATTAGCATACCGCACCGCTGTCTAACAACGCCGACACACCGTCCTCGTCCGATCCACCACTCGCACACTTCATCGTTATCGTAGTCCACAGGGAACCCGAAATGTTCCCACACAGCTGATTTAAAAGAAGCAGGTGGGTTCTAGCTCCTGTGTTATCTGAACTCTCCATACTAACTGTTCTTCTTCTTGTATTTTGTTCTTTTTGTTGTTGTACTTCTTCTTGTTCTTCATTTGTTGTTTAAGGGCGGCTGGCAAACAGCTTTTAGGCGCAATACCGCCCCCTGGATTATATATAGTGTAATGGATACTGCCCTGAATGACAGACTTTTTTCCCACTCGTAAAAAAAAGGCGTATTCGTCGTGTGACTGCATGTGCCGAACCGTGACGGTTCGGGACGAATACGGATACCGTTACACCCCTATTTCCAAGTGATATTAAAGCTTTACTTTGATGAGTATGCAACAATAGACTTAATAGCTCCATTTATCGCATATTCTTTCCTCTCATATACAGGTATGATTTGTGCCACTTAGTCTCGTACTTTATTCCATCCAAGCGATCTGACGCATTCATGTCCGACCCACGTCCCACATACTCTAAAACTCAAATGTCATCCTATTCTATCCTAAATGTCAGCGCAAATGAAAGTCCTCCCAAAAGTAAGGCTTCGAGCAAGGAGACTGTCACTTGGCTGCTGTTTAAGACCCACGCTGGTATTAAATTCTTACATACATTTGCAACCATCATTTTTAACATGCCCTGCACCCATTCTGAAGACATCTTATGTATGCAGTCGCTGTGCATCCACCAGGATATATTTTCCATTTTTCAAGGTGGAGCCATCAAAAAAAAAAAAGAATTGTCAACGGAGCAGCAAATTATTTCATGACTTTGAAGTACAAGATTTCTGGCTTCCAGTTTCAGCAATTGTGGGTGAAATACACAATATGACATTCATATTTTTCTTTCAACTATCTGGTTAAAGTAATGTCAAAGGCATGGTTTGGGATTTTGGAAGTAGGGTTGTATGAAGTACAAATGTCACAATACCAGAAATGTAGTTAATACCAATACCAGTGATATTCCTCTTTTCCTTGGCAGAGATTAAAACACAGTGCAGAACTGAGTCCTGCTGCAAGAGTAGAAGAGGTTTGTTGGAATTAACATTGAGTAACATCACCACAGGAGAGGAATCTTAAGAGGTGGATATCCCAGAACCTGAAAACTATAACATTTAGTGGAGAAGTTAGTGAGAAGGTACATTTTTGTCTGCTTAATGGGCAGGTGCACTGAGGCTCCAGCAGAGGAAAAACATGTGCTGTAGGATGTTTACGTGTGTAGGTGGGATTGGATCAGTGGTTGGAGTGGTGGGTGTTTTGCTGGACTTGGCCTCCACCAGTCATCATGACATGCCCGACCCCTGACCCGAGGGTTGCAGGCCAGACTTCTCCTTTCCTGCAATGAGCTGTTAACTGACCCCAGGGTCAATCAGTCAGGCTAGAAGAGTGTGTTTCTCTGTGTGTGTTCCTGTGTGTGAGTGTCTTTGAACCTCACTACCCTTTTGATCTGATTTACCCTGACAAGGCAAGACGACCGAACAATAAAAATGTCTATTTTCTCTCTCCCTCTTTCGTTTGCTCCCTCTCTCTCTGCATGCTTCAGGCTGAATGGGGGAGATGATTAAATATAATAAACCAACTAAAGAGATGACATTCCCAAGAGTAATTTTGGAGCCCAAATCCCCATTTTGGATGCTATTCTCATTATCACATTTTGGTGTTGTTTGTCTCAGAAAGCCGGAGCAATATTACTCATAAGACACTAGGGATGTAACGATATACCGAATATCGCGGTATCGCGGTAAATAAACGTCCCAATACCGTCGTGAGACTGACAAAATCTACCGCGATTTTTTTTTAAAATACATTTTTTTTTAAATATATTTTTTTTAAAACACTTTTTTTTGTTTTAAACCTTTATTTAACCAGGTGGTCCCATTGAGATCATCGATCTCTTTTTCAAGAGAGACCTGTCCAACATGGCAGCAAGTAGGTTACAACCAGAACACAAAGGACATCGTATTTACAGGGCTACATACATACCTAGAGACATTGACAAGTAGCCTACCAACAGTATATTTATATCTCGCCCTGTCAATAAGCCTCACCTTCTTGGCAAAAACTGTATTGTTTTTGAAGTGGTGGAGAGACAATGCACGGTTTGACCCACTGCTGTCACCCATGGCCAAAGCATATCTCCCCGCTGAGGTGGCGTTAGACTTTTTCGCTGTCCGTCATTTTGACAGACAGGATCGTAAAATGTTATTACCCGTCGGGTCTGAACAGAGAGAGAGAGAGCACGCTCGTGAACTGTCAACGGGGGGGGGGGGGGGGGGGGCGGTGTTATGCCGTGTGTGCATGCACCTCGCGGGAGCGCACACATCGTAAAGCAAAACCTCCCAGACATGTATTGATCTGTACGGCAAAGTACGGTTTGGAAACAATATCATTTCCTTTTGGAGGGCATGCATAACACCAGAGCCTCGCTGCGGGGAAACGTTGGCGCTGTTCCGAGTTTGTTCTAATCTGTCAAAATGACAGACTGCTTTCAGATTTTTCCGTCATTGTTAAATAAAATATTCGGTTAACGCGACCACTGCTGTCCCAGCAACATCAGTAGGCCTACCAAACGAGAGAGTTTTTTTTCCAGAGCAGGGGATATTGTAAATGTCCAAACATCCCAGTTTACCTGGAAATGTGGACATTCTCATATTTCTAAAAACCTGTCTGATGATGCTGAGTGAGTGACTAGTGAGTTTGAGTTGAGTTACTTGAAAAACTAAAGTGAAACTTGATTTATTTTATTGCAGGGTCTGATTATTAAATGTCCTTGTTTATTTGTGAGATGCAGTGGCACAAAGAAAATGCCTACTTTGTTTGGTAGTACTATAGGTACAAAAACACTGGTTTTCTTGTTCCAGTCTGTTACTGTCACTTTGTTTTTGACACTTTAAAATACTGTTATCCTACTAAAATGCTGTACAAATCAGATTTATTATGTAATAAAGAAACATTTTCCGAGTAAACATTTTTTTATTGAAAAAAAAATATATAATTTTCTTTTTCTCCTTTATTATTCAATATCGCGATAAATACCGTACCGTGGACTTGTTATCGCAATATTATCGTACAGTGAGTTTTTGGTATCGTTACATCCCTATAAGACACAGTAGATAAAAGGTTAAAATGCAAGCATTTCTCAGTTTGCAGCCTGTACTTGTTCGTGAGTTTTACAATCCTAATGACCACCAATGGGATCGACTCGGTTTTGACCTGCTAACCCCATATGAGCCTGAGGAGACCTTTGCAGTCACGACTCCACGAATCTGGAACAACCTGTTGGAGTAGATCAGGTAAGCCAGTTATTTTGTGATTGGATTGCTCCTAATAATGTCTATAGTTGCTATTATTTGTCTCTTAAGTTTTGATTTGTGTCTCTTGATTGTCACATAGCTAAGCTTCTTTTTCTCTGGAAGCTATTGATCTTTTTTTAACCTTGATGATTTTAAGTTAACACATTTTACTGATGTTCTTTAAGATAATGGCATCTTTGGAAATGGGGTTTAAAAAAGGTTATAGTGCAAAAGCTAGCCAGCTCAAGTGATCATGGTAAATATTTTATCTGCAAAATATCATCATTGTTATAGCATTATCATTGTGAGCAAATTAGCATACTGATGTTAGCAAAAAGCTCAAAGGCTACTTTCAAAGCCGCTTTCAGAAAAACAGCCTCTCCGTGACTCAAATGTAGTTTTGGTACATTGATGGAACACAAACTAGTGCTATGTCACGTTGTGCTTTTATTGGATGTGTTTTAAATTCCTAAATTGTAATTTAATAAATCTAACTTATCTATATTTATTTAACAGTTATCTTTATATATATTTCTTGGTTTTGTCTATTGCAAATCCCCAAGTAACTTAATATTTTCCTCTCTTTCAGGCTCAAAATGCTATCATCTCCTTTCCTGTTTTTCCACCTCTTCAATCTCTGCTCTCAGTCTCTTCGTTTTTCTTCCTGCCTGGCTGTTTAGAGAGACTCCCTAAACCGCACGCCCGAGAGCACACTGAATTGTGAATCCAAACAGCCGGAGCAGCAGCAGCAGATAGACATGGACTGAGAAAGGGGGGAGGGGGGTAGTGGGAGATAAAGAGTGAGAGAGAGAGAGCGATGAAAACCATGCTTAGCGAGAGAGAGGCGCTCACATTGAAGCAGGCAACAGCTACAGCAACAGCCCGCTCCTCACCCATCCTCTTTTTCCTCTCTCATAATCCCACATCCACGCCGGGGGAGATGGAGGGCGCCCTGACCCGCTGAGGAGCACTGTTTGAAGGAGAGGGAAATCTCCCCCCCCCACCCACCACCCCCTCCGGCGAGTGCCTGGATCATATCTTTGGACAATAACCAACAAGGAGTGAAAGGAGGTGTGTAAGCAAACGAGGCTGCCGGCGGAGGAAGGGAGTAGGAGAGAAAGAGGAGGATGAGTGACAGGTTTAGTACAGATGCCAGGCTCTGAGAGTGAGGCGGAGACAGACTGAGGAGCGGAGGACCGGCACGTGTGGAGCAGCGTCTGCAACTTGTGGTGCCAAGAGGAGAGGAAAATAGATTTACCTACGCACACAGCTGGACAGATGAGGAGGCATCAGGGACCACGCTTCAGTCCTGGGTATGTACATTAATACTTCACACATACTTGTTCATTTTATTCTCAATGGTTGCTGTGTTTTTAGCAATGGAGCACGCAGACATTTGAAACGCAACAGTGCATGTTTGTAGATCTTCAGGGTTGACGACTACCCACCCTGACAAGTCTCCCTACTTGCCCCCAGTTACTTTCAGCATAGGAAGAAGGATGAGAGATTGTGTGTGTTTGTGTCCCTGGTCATGCTTTCTTACCATATACATCCCGTTCTAACGGTATTGTAAAGCACTGGAGGCATTTCATAAAAGGGTTTCGTAAGCTGTCAGAGTGATTCATGTAAATAAACCTCCACTGGCGAAATGTTGCCATGATTCATGACGCCGGACAAATTAAGCAATACTCTCATCCCAGCACTTGTTTTTGGTGGCTGTAGCATTGCTCATTACATTAACTTTGTGCCCGAGTTATGTGCAGTCATAAGTTGTGACAAAAAATCTGAAAGGTATAACTTATATAGCTGCTGAAAAGAGATTGTAGCTAGGACTTATTAGTGCACTCTGATCTGAGACACATATAACTCTGTTTACCAACGCTACACTGCAGGGTTCCATGTATATGACATGCGTGGCAATGTGTTATGTCATGTTGTGGTAGGATGCATATGGCTTATAAAGGACTGTTCATTCTTTCATTCTACCCGCCCAACTATCTTTCTTCTCCCTCTTCCACCATCTGTCTCCGTTTCCAATTATAGGCTGTCACCTCTCCCCCTTTCCTCCTGATTCTATCTCCTGTTTCGTTCTCTTGCTAAGCAATTACCTTTACCTGACTCTACCCCTCCGGACAGCATGGCTGGCTAGGTTCCTGTCCACCTTTTTGACAGTCAAAGTAAAGGATGGGTGGTGATTTCATGGCCATTGTCTTAAAGTTGCCCAACCTGAGCAAAGAATAGCGTCAACACGTTAGCCACACATATTTGTGCTGCTCTCATTGGTTCAGAAAATATATGTAAATAGTATTTAGCTGTGGAGGCTCTATGCTTCTAATCAAGCAATCAGCTCATTATTGCCTGGTCCTCATTAACTTGTTTGGGTTTCTAACTTTATCGCTGTCTGCAGTTTTGTCTTTCTGACAACACAACGTTTAAAAAAACATACGCAGACAGAGCTGACAGCACATTGCTCCCAGCAAACTTTTGGTGCATCAAAAATAAATACTACCCATACAGCTCAATACTTTCAATACTTTATTGATACATATAGGTTTTTTCTAGCTTTTTCTGTTTATCCGCACTGGCAACAATCACCCTTTATAACCTCTTTACTACAATTGTACAACTCCTTCAGAGACGCACATATTTACATGAAAACAGGAACACACAAGTATAAACCTTTTAGCACAGCAGTGTGACAGCTTCCTGAAGGAAAGCATCACTGTCCTTTCTGCTGCTAATAGTGGGAAAAACTCAGCTGTATTTAGAGGCTTGAAATAAGGCATTACTGATGAGAACAACAAGAGGATGAGGACATGATTAACAGAAGGGGGAAGATGGGAATAGTGACCAAATTAAATAGGAGAAGATTGAGGCAATAATGGAAGAAAGTGAAGAATGTTGAGAAAAAAAAATAGTCCTGACTAAAATATGAGAGCATGTGGGCAAGATATTTTGGCCTCGGTGTTGAAGGGTGCGATGTCTTTTTCTTGTGAATGGACACGGCAGAAAATTGTTAGTTTTCAGCCAACCCTGGGGGGAAAAGGTGAAGAAAGACACAGATTGCCAGTGGAAGCGGAGGATGTTCATTTATTCATAAAAGCATTCTGCCTCTTCTCCTGGAAGGAGAATTGCAGCTCATTAGACGTTGGTTGATTTTGTTTTCATGTGGGGAAAGGAACATGAGTTGTTAGACACACACTGAGATTGTAAAACAACAAAGGTTAGCCAAATTATCGTCATTTGTTTTAGTTGAATAGGAAAACTATGCATATTCAATTTAACACTTTTCAATGTTTTGAACATTTATCCATTTTTTATTTAAATGCACATTTAACTCTGTCCATATAATCGTGTAACAAATTGGAGCTAGCTGGGTAACGACTGAGAAACACAACATTTGATGAGCATGAACGCCTTTAGCATTTAAAGCTGCCCTAATCAGATGACTGTTTGTATTGTGAAAGGTGTCATTCGCAGTGATGAACATGCAGACAATGATTATCATTAGAGCGTTTTAGTGGCTCTCAGGACATTTTAAGCACGAAAGATCCAAGAAGTGTCTGTGAGCTGACTCCTCGTCACAGACACAGTTAGCTATACTAAACTTGTAAACATAGTGAAGTATCAAACAGCTGAAGAGCATTTTATTTACCTCATTAGTTGATGGACAACAATAGAGCTAATAGTTTGCCCTGCATTTGTAATTTGTCCAGAAACATGACTCCAAATAGTGGATAATATTGTTTTATATCTGCTGGATATATAAATAAATAACTGTTCACCAACATGATAGTAGAGCAATAGCTCTGCATTGTTGTACTGTTTGTTGATGGAAGGACCACCACATGTTTAAATGGACTGCTTAGTGTCACCAACAGGACATTTTTTTATTTGAACATTGTATTATCACTGCAGGTTGTAATGAATGATGGTCACAGCAATGAATATAAGACACAGGTTGCATGAAAGCAGAACTCCTTTTAAGGATTTAACGCCTCAGCGGAGCAGGGACTTTGGGGAACATGGTAGTTACTGAAACACAGAAGGTTAGGACTTCAGGGGGAAAACTGAGTGCGATGAGAGGAGAGAAAGAGCTACGGCGGGCCATTTAGTGAGAGGATTTGATTGGGAAGGTGTGTGGGAGTGTTCAAGGATCTCAGTGTGTGCACGAGTGTGTGCATGTATGATGGTTGACCTTGAGAAATGCACCAAGGCGGGTCTTAACGGTTGTCCTTTGTGGAGGATTGCTGCTATAAGTATACTGAATGGTGATTGAGGTGTGTGAACAGAGAAGGGTACAACACCTACCGCTATCTCCCGGTACACACTCACACAACCTGCATGCCAATACACACACAATAAAAACAAAGGCCTTAATTAAACTGTTGAATTATAGCAGAGAGGCTTTCGGTTGCATTAGAGGTCACTCACAAAACTGAATGTAATGGTCTTGCTTCCAATATCATCTAGTCCAACACCATGAGTGTGTACTGAGGTTATTAGGCTTTTAAGATGTCAGCTGAGTGTTGTCGCACATGCTCAGTGTGGAATAAAGGGCATGATCTCAGTCAATAACAAACAAGTGGGCTTCTGTCTCTGGGAAAATAGCCAGCAGGTGGTAACCATGATTCCTCTGCAGTCTCACTGCTCTATTACAACTCCCCTCCCTCGCAATAAATTATATTTTCTTGCACCTTCCCTGATTTCCCCGTTCTGCCCTTTCACTTTCCATTTCGCTTACTTTAATTTACTTTCCCTGCTGTATTTTCTCAGACGTGACCCTTGTGCCTTGAGATTCTGTTGTTCGTTCTTCCACGCACACTTTCTGTCCGTCTTTCTGTCTTTCTCTCTGCCATCCTAAGCTTCCCATATTTCCCATCTCGCTCTCTCTCAACTGCTTGGTTCTTATGGGAAAAATGTAAGGTCCCCGGGGCATCTCTCGCCTCATAATTAATTTGCAAATAAATGCAAAATAGACTCTCAAATGGAAATTGGTGATCAAATTGTTCCTTTCAAATTATAAAAAATCCTTGCTTGTTCAGAGATAAATTGCCCTAGCAGGTTTGTCCATCCCTTTTCCTTCAACAAAATGGGACACTGTCTATAGACTGGTACAAATTACATTTGTAAATATTCTTTTAATGATACATTGCTGATCATAGTAACTGTTTACAGTTATAAAGCTTCTTACTTTGACACCTCTCTCTGAGCCTGCATAATAACAATTATTTTTTAACCCTAGAACACAGAATAAAAAACTATTTGAGACGAACAGTCTTTTTTTCACATCACATAACTGCAGCAGTCATTATCATCAAACTACAATTGTAAGAAAATGTGCCAGCTCAGTGAAAAGTCCAGTTTGGTTCTTAAAATGGAAACTAGACAGAGCAGACAATTGTTGACCTTCAAGCGAAGCAGACACATGTTGATGCTAGCTGGACTTCTCTATAATTCTCTGTTTAATCAGTACAGGTAAAGTTCCTAGTTGTCAAGCTGCAGATGATGCGGAATACTACTTTCTAAAATGTTAATATAATATAACATCATCATTTTGTCTGTGTTTATTTGACCAACTTTTGAGTTTGAATTTCTTCAGACCTTGTGATTTTGACTTCTTCTTATGATCAGTTTTGGTTAGGAATTCAGGCACATTCAGAACAGAAGGTTTTTGTTGCTACAAATATAATAATGTATCTCTAAAAAACTAACTTCTCTCCTAAAACATGTGACTTAAATGAGAACTTTGAGAGTTTTAAAAAATACCTTTGGCCTCCTAACAATATCTGCAGTCGTGGGTGTAGGCTGGTGAAAAATATCAATTGCAAAGGCAGGAGCCTCGAGAGGAGTTATGTCCGGCAACTGTGTGTGTGGCAAACCTCTCATCACCTGCCCTTCTTGAATTAAAGACTCGTGTTTCTCAGGCCTCATTAAATGTTGATGTGGTTCAGGAAGTTTGTGGCTCATCTCACCTGTGCTTTCCCGCCCCTCTGCAGATGTCAATGAGATTACCCTTTTCACGCGGAGGCGTGTGGCGCAGTGAATAGTGCGTTGGTGTTCGGATCAGGGGGGCACAGGTTCAAACCCCACTGCAGTCAGCATGTTGTTGTGTCCCTGGGCAAGACACTTCACCCCAAATTGCTCCTGTGGGGATTGTCCACAGTATTGAGTATGTAAGTTGCTTTGGATAAAAGCGTCTAACAAGTAACATGTAATGTAATATACAGTGGGGCAAAAAAGTATTTAGTCAGCCACCAATTGTGCAAGTTCTCCCACTTAAAAAGATGAGAGGCCTGTAATTTTCATCCTA